TGTTTTCACTGAAAACATCAAGTCTAGTCATGATTTCCTAGTCACAGGTTTTATTAAAAGGCTTGACTGCATATGACACCTGACGTTTTTGATTTTTACAATGGACTAGGTTTTAAACACAGAACTACTGTTCTGTCCAATGTAAGGCACAAGTATTCTAACAAGAAATATGACCAATAAGATATGGAGCTTTTATTTTGTTAAGTAGTATGCATACATATAGTGCACACAAAGATCCAGAATACAAGGCTGACTTAATGGCAATCAAATTTTAGGAGAGTTTATTTGATTTTAACATCTTCCTTTTAGATTGGAAGATGGTATCTTAAACAAGATCAGACAAATTACTCATTTTGGGAACAAAGACTTTTGAAAGCTGTCAGCTCCCTGACAGTTATGATGAGCATTTATCTCAGGCTTATAAAACATATTAATCACAGCATCATGGTCCAGAGAATTTTATTTTATTTTTGAGAAAGATTTTAAATGAAGGAAGAGTACAGCTAACATATGCTACATAAGTACCGAGCAGGGATTTTTTCCTTTGATATGAGTAAATACCTCTCTCAGACTTCCAGAATGTACTTACAGTATCCTGCAGGATTCTGTTTATTATAAGAGTCTTTGCAAAGGACCTGTGCACTATTCACTGAACCTTGAACAGCAGTTGAAAATATGGGTTGCATTTGCAAACTTCAGTGTATGACATGGAAAGCTGGCAAGCTGCCTGGCTTCTACTTAAAGGATTGTCATTCTGGGAAAAATAAATTTCTCTAACTAGACAAAAGTCAATGTTTTCATGTTTTACTGCAATCAAACTGATAGAGCTGACAATTTAATGTCTCAACACTTAAAATATCTGCGGATAATCAGTTACCTCAATCAATCATAAACACGAACCCTTCTATTTTCAAAGCTTGTGTGTCTGTGACTAAGATATTAAATGGTTTGGTGAGACCCTACCCCCATAGCACCCCACTCTCCACCCTCCCATCATCGCAAGAGTCCTTGTTTTCAGTTATGTAGACATTTATACTCGTTATACAGCTGGAAATAACTTTAATCACTCGAGTGTGATCAAATTTAGAAAGTTTTCTCTCACTGTCCTGTTTTACTTAATTTTTATGGGTCATTTATAGCCTGTATGCCTGTCAGAAATATATGGAAGCGTGCTGCTGTTCCAAGTGAAGACATCACTACAATTGAAAAATATGTACCAGGCTTTTTCAAAGTAAGTGCTGAAGCTTACATTTCCTTCCATTGACCTCAGGGGTTGCTGTTAGCTGCCTCAGACAGGCAAGTATTTTGGGTCAAAGGGTGTAGAACTGGCCCCTTAAGCATTTCCTGGCAGGTGCAGTAAATGACTCACTTCTGGAAACCCATGATGATGATGATGATGATGATGATGATGATGATGGTGACGATGACGATGACGATAGGGCGGACGATGGCGATAAAGCCAGGGAGGCAGTGACAGCACAAAGAGGTGTGGAGGAACCGGACTGCAGGTAGCTGCAGATCTGGCGGAGCTGAGAGTCTCAGCTCACTAAGCTGTGGTGTTGATAATGACGGGAAACTTCAGACAGTCTCAGAAATCTGTTTCGATTAAGCTATGCTGTAGTCGTGCCGCACTGTGAGAACAAGTTCATCGCTACACTCCCTTCTCTGCTCGCGATACGATTTTATGAAAGTGGTTTTCATTCCTAACAAATAATTACTGTGAACAATCCGTAAGCCAAGTTCTTCGTTTGGAGTCTTTTATGACTTTTTATGTATGATATGTGTGTACATTGACATGCACATTCGCTACCACTGCCTCCTTTTTGTTCCTTTGATTATCTGGAGCTTTGCAATCACACTAAGCGGTGGTAGGACCCTAGGGGCAGCATCTGTTAGTTCCCCGTCAGGACGCGTTGCAAAACAATCAATCTTGGTCTCACACTCACTTGGCGGAAGTGCCTCCGCATGAACAGTGCAGTGCTTTGCTCTTGCCATGAAGCCTGGGTGACAAAAGTTTTCACAAGAAGCTGACTGTATTTGGGGTTATGAATATGCAATGGCTCTCACTAGTATTGAAGCGTCAGAGCAGGGGCTGACGTCGCCCGCCACTTTGAGCTGCGGCAGCGTCGGCTAATGAATTGTCTCTCTGCCTTACTCACAGGGTGTGCTGGTGTGCCTCCTAAGTTCCGAGGGGGAGTTGCCCATTTGGAGAAGACTACTGACTGCAGAAATTAATTATCAAGCACCACTCCTGATTGTGTGAAACAATGATTAGGCAGTGTTTAGGTTGTCAAAACAGAAAAGCACAGACCCGCGTAAGACAGTAATCATAAGTAGCAAAATACAGAAACAGACACAAGGATGTGTATATGTACTTACATGCACAAGTGTGTATGCATATACTGTCATCCTGAATCACTGTGTGCCGTGTAGATGGAATCAAGTCATGGAAATCTGACATTCTCTTGGTTTGTCGATTGCCTTTTCAAATGGAACAAAGAGAGATGATAGAAAATACTCCAAAATGAATAGGGTTGAAACACAAAACAATTCCAATTCTTTACTGTATTCTTTCTTTTTCATTCCTGGGTCCCTGCCAAACGCTTTGCAGCTCACCCACATACCATCTTTCATGAATATGTTACTGATAAATATATGTTTTCAACTACTGATAAAGGTATCTGAGCTGATTTACAGAGACATAGAGAGTGCTTCTTTCTCGATGGGATAAATTAAATGTGTTTCCCACATCCTCTCCTCCCTGGGCATTTCCTTTAAACTAGAAGAGAACTTCTGTGGCTTGCTTCAGATTGTACAGGGTAGAGATGAAACTGGCAAAGTAGGGTAAAACGTAAGGGAAGGTTGTAAGCGATGAAAGTGCAGCAGTGAACAAAGCAGAAGTCCTTATATTAGGACGTTTGCTTCTACAGTCATTTATTTCATTGGCAGTGACAAGTTATTTCCTGCATGGGGAGAGATACGTGTTATTTTGTGTAGAGCTTTAGAGTGTGGTGCTTTTCTAATTGCTGTAGTAGTTTGACCCATCACCAGAAAGAAGAAAAAAACGAAGCCCAAGATCTCATACATGCAAGAGCACTAAGAATGAGCTTAGCTTAAAATAAATGCAGCTCTGATAGAAGTGGCTCGAGCGTCATACGTCAAACACTGCTGGCCTTAGTGACTACCCATGACTAAGAACAAATCAGAATTCTTGGACAAAATTTCAAGAAAGATGAAACCACTTGGGTGTTTGCAAAGACCATCTGTCATTCTGCTGAGCTACTGATATTATTTGTTTGAGTAATCCTTGGCTTCCCAGTGAATGGCCACAATACGCCTTCTGCCTTGAGACCAAAGCCACCAAGAAAATTTTGTTTTTGAAATTGGACAGATCATACAGAAGCCTAATCAGTTAGGAGCACATAACAAGTTAGCTGAGTTCCTAAATTTACATTCTTGACCCAATTCACTGTCAGTATAGGGTTTTAAAGTTTTACTGCTTTAATGTAATTACATAATCAGGAGTAAAGTCCCTCCACAGTCACTCATAAGACATTTTTGACTTGCAAATATTCTGAAGTCCCCGGGCCTCCAAACATTGTCTATTGTAAGACAAACATCTACCCCAGCATGTCAAAAAAGAAGTATTAACTTTTACAGCTCACACTCAAATTTTAAAATACAAAAGTGGAAGTAGATCAGCTGAAACAATGATATCCAAGCAAAAACTATTTAAACTTAATGAAAATATTAGCCAATATCTGCTACTATATCTGCCACTATGACTATAAGAACCACATATGTGATAATATTTCAGATTTAGTTGTAACTGTGGTGGTTTTGAGTTGGCTCCATAATTAGCATCTACATTCTAGATTTTTGTGACTGCTGTAGATATTATTTATGGAAGGTTTGTCCGAATATGAACTTGTTGCTTTCATCAAAAATTGGTGTCTGATAAAATGCACTGGCAAGCTCAGGGTCCTGAGTTTGATTCTAGTTACCTAAAGCAAAATTACTATAACATCCATACTCAAAATTAGTATTTTGACATAGTTTTATGACGTGAACCCAGACTTGGAGTACCCAACAGCAGACCAAATGCTGAAAACAGAGATACATTTTCTCTTTCTCAAGTACACAGTTATAATCTCACAAGAGCGAGGGGAAATGGAGAGGAGGTCAACCTTTGATGTACTTAGCTAAAATTTTGCCAGCAGAGGCTATTTTGATTAATTTGGACATACATATTAATTTAGTGCATTCGGATTTAGTACTGTATGCATTTTGGTTTATATGTGGATGAGGGGACACCATAATCTTTTGGGGTTTTTAAAGTCTCTAGAGTCTCGATCTGAACTTGAATGAACTGTAGAATTTCCCACCAGTGAGTGCTACCTATGCATTTCCTTGTCAGCCATGTAAACTAACATTTACTAAACGCAGCCTGGCTGCTGCAGGTGGGGAGAGGTGGGTTAGGAAGGCAGAGAGGTAAGATCTTGGACACTGAGGATATTTACAGGATGGCTGGGGTGAAGGAGCACAGGGGAAAATGATGCAGATAAAGTTTTAGGGATACAAATGAACAAACACCGAAGTTGGATTTTGGGAGTTTGAATATTTTATGCAAATGTAGCTTTCCTTTGAGCAAGACTTCAGTGTGTCTAAAACTCACCCTTTTTTAACAGTAACACTTTCTTCTCAGGTGACACAATTTGAGGTTCAGAATCATGTGTTTGTAGTGTCCTTTTCATTCTTCTCATTTAAACGCATCTTAGGGGCCAGGGATTTAGCTCAGTGGCACAGCACCTGCCTGACAAGCATGAGGTTCTGAGTTCGATTCCCAGTACCAAAAAAAAAAAATGTATCTTTAGGTAGGGAGAAAATGCCTTGTTTACTAGCAATTACCACCTTTGAATTCTAGAGGAACAAAGTATGCATTCAGAATGTGAGAGTACTGTTTGTTTAAAGCTATCTCTCTTCTTTTTATCATTCTCCAGCAGTCTTGCCTAAAAATGCTATGTAGAAATGTTGATTCTAGACTACCTGATGTCCGGCACCATTGCACACGGAGCTGGAGTCTGTCATCACTGGTAAGAGTCACTGGGGTCAGGGGGTGGGGGGGTTTCCTTCCTCAGTTGTGTTCTCTGAACACTGATCTAGCTGTTTAATGATGAGCCCCAAGCCTGGCTCTGAACTAGTATTATTTCCTTTCTTCCCTGCTTCTTCCTCTTACCCTTTTCCCGCCTTTCTCATTTGGCAATAAAAATGTTCCCAGCGGCATTTGCTTATTAACTTTTTTTTTGAGGCAAGAGCTCACTATGGCCCTATGCCACACAGGCTGGCCTTGAACTCATTTTGTAGCCCAGGCTGGCCTTGGACTCACAGAGATCATCCTGCCTCAGCCTCCTGAGTGCTGGGATTAGAAGCATGCACACTTAGCCTTTTGCTTTTTCAAAAAAGGAGGTCTAGATTTGATGTGAGTTGTCACGTAGGTGGCAGGCACTTACTGTGCTACTGCTACACAGGTTAGTCTGAATGGTTGGCAAAGAGCCATGTGAGAGACACATTGAGTGAATGGTCAGGATCACACAGGCATCTAGGTTTTAAGTCCTAGGGACCCCAGAGCCTATTCTGTTTGTATTACATGAAAACATTTTAAGGTCTTGAATAATCTGTGCTGGGAGTTCAGGCTTTGTGCCAGTCCCACAGGGGAAATGCTTTTGGCTAGAAGCATCACCCTGCCTTGTACCTTTCAAGTTAGATGAAGTGGATCTAATTACTTTTGCTGACACGTAAGGCGGGCTTTGTGTAGCTGCACCTTAAGTTTTCTAAATATAGGTTTATTTTAGTGAGACTTTCATCTTTGTTCTGAAGTTGTTCAATTAAATTCAATTTAGTGAACATTTTTTGAAAGTCTGTTCTCTGCCAGGAACTGTGATAGATGCTGGTGGTACCAAAACAATCTAGGGAGAGGGACATTATAAGACGTAATAAATACTTATAATGCTGTTTGCCAAATGATGTAATAGAGGCATATACAAGGATCTGGGGGACGTATGAGAAAGTAATTAATTCTGCCTTGAGGAGAGATGTCAGCAAATGCTATATTGGATCAGAACCTTGAAGGTCAAGAAATTATAATTTTCCAGACAGGAGGAGGTTGAGAGTTCATTTCAGGTGACGCAATGTTGGGAGCATATGTGTGACTATGCCGGGAAGGCGTAGGGGAAGGCAGGAGTGGCGGATTGCAAAATCAGTCACAGATTCTTTCCTTTCTTGCATCTCACTGTGGGCAAAGTGACAGTTCAGATGCTTCCTTTAGGAGGTGGAGTCTCTCTTCCCATCCCTGAGCTGGGCCGGGCAAGTGACACACAAGGACCAATGGACATTAGCAAGCAGGACTGATGCAGGGACCTGAGAAGTGCTTCTGCTCTGGTGTTTCTGTGCTGGGGACCCCTAGGCAATTATGTGATTGAGTGTGAAGGGTGAACAGGCACCCACAGGAGAACGGAGGTCCTGGATGATGGTCTTTGAAACACAGAACATATAATGAGATCACCTTAGGTCATGTAGGTACCAGCTGATTCACCATCTGACCACAAATGATGGACAAGTCCACAGAGAGTCAGGCATCAGCCCAGACAGACTGACCCAACTGATTCACAGAATTATGAGCTACACCAAAGGTTACTTCAGCTGGTAGGGATGTTTGGGATGTTTTGTTATGCAGCAAAGCTTATGCCCAGAGGATATTTGTAAGTATTATACAGGGACTGTAGAAAGGAGAAGCTGAAGACAGAAGAGGATATGGGGCATTTCTGGGATCACGCTAAGGAGTTTAGACCCGTTTTCTAATACCAAGTTTCCCAAGCTTCACTGATTCACACATCACCTTACCTTTTCACGAACTACTTAAAAGATTTTTAAAAACTGTCCAATTTTTATACTGAATCTTATTTTAAAGTAAACTGAATATTAATTTTATAATATTAATTTAACTTTCCAGATTGATATGATAGTTATGTTTTTCTAAACCCATTGAACATATAAACATTTAAAACTTTGACCTATCAGAAATCATCTTGTACATTGTGGGTGGTGTGTTCTAGGATTTCCTGCTTTGATCTGTGGGACTCAGAAGTAGACGGAGACTAATGTGAATGGAGACATGACTGCAGAAGTCTAGGTGGGATACGGTTTACAGTGGAGTGAGAGACTTAAAATGCGTCCCTGAGGGGAACAAAAAAGGACTTGGCAACAGGCTTGATGTGTGTGAGGCAGGAGTCGGGAGTGTGAAGAGGAGGGATTACAAGGAATACAGCTGGAGTAGCTAGTTTTCCTAGCTTGGCGCACTGAGTGGATACTGATGTTCTTAAGAAAGGGAAGAGAGAAAAAATAAATATAATAGATTTGACACAATAAATAGTAAATGAGTTTACTGAGCTTGAGGGAGTGGATCACATGAAAATGGGTGTATAAGAGGTGATGACAGGGGCTGGGGATACAGCTCAGCAGCACAGCACCTGCCTGGCAAGCCTGAGGCCCTGAGTTTGATTTCTGGTACCAAAAAAAAAAAAAAAAAAGGTGAGAATAGGTGTGTCATGTGAGAATAGGTGAGAATAGACACGTCAAGCAATTGGATTTGTGGACGTGGGCTTAAAATATTAGTTTTGAGGTCATCAGCATAAAGATGGTAGCTAGTTGAAGTCATGGGAATAGCTGATGTCATCCACAAAAAATATTTAGTACAGAGATCTTCAGCTCTTTAAATTCCCAAACTCTTAAAAAATACAGCAGAATGCAGCTTGAAATAGTGAGTGGTTCATACATGTAATAATTCCCAAATGGGGGCGGAGGGTATCTTTAGATTGAAAAGATGTCCCCCAGGTTATTTTGATGCTGCTGCCTCTCACCTTCTGTTTATTTAGAGTGAAACAAGGACAGGGCTGAGGAAGAAGAACTGGTTAAAGGAGACAAAGCTGTCTGAGAGGTAGCCCGAGAGGAAGGGAGCTTTTTACAGGAGCCTCAGTGCCAAATCCTGCAGGGAAATCCAATGGGGTGATTGTCCTTTATCAGGGCTGGCTCTTCCAAGTGTAATGCTGAATGGACAATAGGAGCACAAGGAGGGTTTGGGGGAATGATTTATGTGGAACTGTTTTGTCTTTGAAACACTTCATAAGCCTTAAATATTCAAGACCAGCAGAGTTTGTAATTGTACTACTTTGGGCTTGGGAATCAATATGAGTTTTAATACTTTTCTTTCCTCTGTCCATGGCCAATGTTTTAGAAAAGTGCCCAGGTGGGCGCTGTAATCCTGATCTCAGTGTAAAGTGATGTTTGAACCCGTTCTGAGGAATAGTGCTAAGGGCAAGGATGCTGACTGATGCCTTCTTTTTACAGCTTCTCTGCATGTGAGCCTGCTGCCTCTGGCCCCCCTGGCCCCCAGAAGCAAGTTACTTGCCTTGTGCTGCCTTGGGTGAAAGTAAACTTCCTCTACTGGCAGAAGTGGAATGGCACAAGCCTCTCTGGTCCTCAGGTACTGTTCACACTCAATGAATAGCTTCTTTTGGTATTAATATTATTTTTAAAATGAATGAGTTTTTACCTGACTTTGTGTGGACCAAGGAAAGGCCCCCAGATCAAGACAGCAGAGCTTCCTCAGACATGATTTGGTGCCTCTTGAGCCTGCTCAGAGGATCCTCTGCAGTGCAGGTTCATTTGTTTGACATCTGGCACTCAAGACTCCTGGGAGAGTGGCTTCTCCCTAAATGTGCCTTGAAAGCATTCCTGCTGTGCCCCTGCTGTCCAAGCACAAGTACGTTCTAGAAAACGGACAAGTCATGGCCTGGCTTTCCCAGAAGGAGTCAAGAAGTGCCTCGCTCACCTCAACCTGTTTTACTTATTTATTTATTTCCAGAAGTGGGGATTGAACCTGGGGCCTTCACATTGAGCTACACTCCCAGCTCTTCTCTTATTTTTATTTTGAGACAGGGTCTCACTAAGTTGCTCAGTCTAGGCTCAAACTTGCAATCCTCCTGCCTCAGTCTCTTAGAGTGCTGGAAATGCAGGCGTGTGCCACCATGCCTGGTTTTGAACCCGGGTTTTGGTGTCTAGCTTGAGAGAAGGTGACCACCTGTTGGTAGGTGCTGCTTTCTGGTGCACTTGGCACCCTAATCTCTTCCTCCTATATTCCCAGGGCTCTCTGTAGCCTCCGTCTGAGTCAGCCAGCTGAGGGGAATTGTTTCAGAAACTTTAACTTGTGAGAGGGGGGGTCTTTCACCACAGACGCTCAGGACAGCTGGACCTCCGTAGTTATTTACACCTGTAGATGTGGTGTAGCATCAACTGAAGTAGGGGACACATTTTCAAATGACTGCAGCAGTCTAAAGCTAGATCTGTAAATCGTTAAAGATACTCATTTTAACGTCTTGTAACGTGAAAACATTACAATGGTGAAAGAACGCATGTGTGTAACAAGAGAGTTAAGACACCGACATACAAAAGGGAAAGGAAAGCCTTTTCACTTTCCCTCTTGCTGGTCTTCCCAATTCCATTTTCTGCTCTGGCCTAATGAATGCATTTTAAGTCAAACCTGACTGAGTGCTCTCTTCGCTGCCTGCCTCTGCTCCTGCAAACATCAGCCCAGCCACTCTTTCAGATCCACTTCAAGGAGACCCAGGCCTGAAAACTGTCCCCCGTGGTTGTGTGTGAACTGGATGCTGCACACACGGGGTCCAATTGCTGGGTGGGGACCGAGAGGTGAGCAGCCAGCAGCTCTTAGGGGAGGGATGTAGGTGAGCCAGCAACTAATGGGAAAAACAGGGGGTCGGGGCTCATCTTGATGTAGGGAAATCGGAAAGGCCCTTCTGCTTGCCAGGGGATTTGAATATTTGGCAAACAGCTGGCAGGGCTCTGGGAGGGAGCCTCTTGATTCGCCTCGTCAGATGTTCAAAGATAAAACGAGGCAGCCTGCACGCCAGCGCAGAGCTCACAGCCTTGCAGACAGTTTTGAATTTAGATTTGAATTGTGATATCAATGTCATGGTGGCACATGCTTTGAGAAAGTACTTACAGAGAATAATTGAAAGATTCAGTGTGAAGCTTCTGAAAGCCATAATTTAAAGTTCCAGCAGCCTCCATATTACTCTCCCCATTAAAATTTAAAGTGACAGAAGCCCAATTATGTATGATTATTTTCTTAAATAAAATCATATTTCTACTCCGAGCGAAAGATTCATTGCTGCCCACTAATCTCTGTCAGGAGAACCGATCTCGGTGGCATCCAGGGTCGGTGGCGGAGATGGTTCGCTTTATCCTAGGGACAATGGAGCGGCACCAGGGGAAAGCAAAGCTGGAAGGTCTCCACTGAGGAGCAACTCAGCTCGCGGGAGGCTGATTTGCATAATAATCACCATTATGGATCCTCTCCGGTGCCAGCCTCCACACTTAACCAAATGCGGCACAACTCTAATAGCGGCGGAGCAGCCCAGTGGGCTGTGGCACAGATTTTACAAAGCCTGCTCGTTAGGAGGAGCCGCTGAGGAATGGGGGCTTGGATACAATGCTAGGGATCCTTGAAAGATAGGTAGATTTTCCCTCTGGTTTTATCACAAAGGAATCTGTTTCCCAGGAGCAGCCGCATCATGCTGGGACTTCTCTGGCCATTGTAATTCTGACGTGAAAATAGATCAGTGGAAACTTTGCACAGAAACATTTCCAGTGTTCAAGTAAGGGTAAGTCAAGCGTCAGCCACTGTTATTTATGAAAAACTTTACTCCGTAGAGTCCCTGGGGACAAAGGAGCATGGAATCAAATAATACTATGACTCACATGTCAAATGATGCAGCGTGTGGGTATATATATGTTTGTATATGAATACTAATCTAAGCAATGTCTTATAAATAATAAATCACATAATTTCTCAAAAGTTTCATGTTTGATAAAATATTTACAAGTAGGTCATGGTTCTACTAAGTTGTGTCATGACTTTATCATAGCCAGCCCCTGGCAGTTTGCAAGTTTGCTTTTTGTCTTCTGGATTTAGCCTTAGGATCTCGCTACCTTTGTACAAAACTGATTCCATGGTATGAACTCAACTTCTCCTTTCTCTCTTTTGTTCATTTCTTGATGAGAGGTGAACATGTTCACTTGTGTCCATGATTGTATCATTGTGTTTTGACTCTGGATCCTAGTGTTCAGGCTTTTTCCATTTTCATCTTTGACATTTTGTTGGACTCTTCCTTGCAAACGGACAGAGAAACAGCTCAACCAAAACTCCTTTCTTAAGTTTCCTATTCTTGATATTATTTTCTTTCAAGTAGAAACTTGCCTACTTTTGGCTACTGCCTTCTTACCTAATTCACTCTAACTTTTTGCAGTCTGGATTCAGCCACTCCTGGTGTTCTGAGACTATGCTCACAGGTATACTTTACTCTGACTTCACAGACCATTTTTCTCACTCCACCCTAGGGGCAACTTAACTAACTGGTAAATATTGGTTGAATTTGTGGGTGGGGTCAGTTTAATACCATGCTCCTTCTGGTGGAGAAGGACGTCCTACTAAGTGCATACATTTTCCTTCAAGGCTAGAAGACCACCCTGCTCTCACTCGCCTGGCTCACGGGGATGGCCTAATTTGTAGTTAAGACAGCTGGGTGTGCTTTGGCTTCCATGCTAAGCTACTCCCTCTACCCTGGCTTCCATCAGTGGTAAAGGCTCTAGTCTGCCCTTCCATCTATTTTACTTTTGAGTTATTTCTTAAAGTTTTAGAACCCACAAGAAGGGTGTGTCGATTTTGGGACAGCCCTGAGAAACCTCAACAAATACATTAATTTGTATAAGTAAAATGTTGAAGTCTTCTTCATCTCACTTCTGAGAGAAAACTACTATTAGTGTGCATCTTCTCCGGTTGCTGTGTACACATGAGAGAGAGAGAGAGAGAGACAGAGAGAGAGAGAGAGACAGAGAAAGAGTATGGTTCCAAGGCAGAAGCATCATGCTGAAGGGTGTGGCGAAGCAAGGCTAGCAAGGTAAACCAAGTTCATAGTGGCCAGGAAGCAGGGCAGGGGAGCACTGCTAAAGGGGAAGGGGTAAGCGACCGGATGTGCATGCCAAGGCCACACCTCCATGACCCAGACACACCCAGAAAGTGTGCCCCACTAATCCCAGGTGCCAATCACACTGACACTCCATCCTGACTGCCACACAGAATAGTTGGATGGATTTGCACTATAAGCAGGGGAAGTTTATACTTCTATACTTCATGTACAAGAGCTATGGGAGACGAGTTTATCCCAGGTCCAGGACTGCAAGCCTATCCCTCAAGAGTGTCCTCACAAAACTAGCTCCTTCTCCGCTTTGGTTCTACCACCAGGAATCAGGTGACCTGTTGAGAATCTAGCCAGACTACAGAAGAGCTTCAGTCTGGCTTCACTGCCTCTTCCAGTGCAATATATCAGGCCTAAAGGAAGAGTTGGGCGGTTCTTCACCTGGATAGCCCTGCTTGTGTCTGCAAGGCCATTTCCCTGGCAGAGAGGCACATGGCAGCTGCTTGCCAAGCCTTCCTAGAGAGAAGTGAAAACAATGTAATGCAGCTTAACAGAGGAGAGTGGTAGGATTCTGACTTCTTCGACCTTCCCCTTGCAAAGCATGTAGGATTTATTTGGAATACTTGCAGTACTGTGATAACCTACTCAGGAAAACCTTGTGCATCGTGGAGCTGGCTGTGGGATCATTGGAAACTGCCACAGACATGTGCCTGACTGCCACATCTTGTGCAGTTTTTCCCACTCAAGATACACAGGCAAACATGTCTGTGCTAGACAGAAGCACAGCATGAGGAGCAAAGCTGATCACATTAGATGGAAAGGAATTATCACATAATGTGCACATTTACACAGCACTGTGGAAGGGACCAGGCAGTCTGGCTGTGTGAGATCATTTCACTGCCCACCAAAGAGATCTAAAATGGACTTTTAATTATGATTGCCAATTTGCTATGGCTATATTGCTTAATATGAGCATCGGATTAGGTTAATTTTCTTTAATTGATGAGTAGAGCACTTAAACTTGTAGGGCTGAATTTGTTGTTATGTCCTGGCAATTTTATATTCTGACTTTTTGCTGGAGTACAGATCACAGGCATTCCTTATTTGTTGTACTTTTGAGGTCACCACTCTTCCTTCCTTCACCTTTGTGTGGCTTTTTAGATTTGCTAATGGAGATAGAGCAGGGCTAAGTGACTGTTAAACTCTTTTCCATATACAGTAAAAGCCATTAACATAACATGGACCTCACTAAATTTGGAATTTATGAAAATGAGGGCAGAGCCTGGGTTAAAGTTTATTTTTGCATTGTCTCTGAAGTATAGCTTTGCTGAGCTAATAAATAGTATAAATAAAATTGCAGGGACTGGCACTACCCCTTTAAGGAGCAGACTTTTGAAGCACTTTTGGGAAAGGTCTTGCATGAGAGGTAACAGAGGGGAGAGACAGGACAAAGATTTAGGCTGCTTACTGGCTGTGTGACTTTAGCTTCTCTGAGCATTTCCCCCATCTATAAAACAGAGATAGTTCCCTACTTTATGGGGTTACTCTGAAGGTTAGATTTAATGTATAGAAAATGCCTAGTGTGAAGTAGTTATTTCATAAATGGCAAGTGATTATTGCCTACCTAAAATAAGTGGTAGGCTGACTTCAAATACTTTTTATTTTTTTCATGAAAGCAAGATTCTTTAGAGTTTACTGACCTCATCTGCGATATTGGTTTATTACACTTATTATTATTTGATTAGAAGGAAAACCTAGCAGTTTGGGGTGGTTATAAAGAGAAGGAACTTTGGAACCAGGCAGCCTCAGGTTTGGAAACAGTTAGATTGCTTATGAGCCATGTGGTCCTGGGTGAGTAACTGAACATCACTTAAGTTTTGTTTTCTAATTACAAAAGAAAGATTAATCCTGTTTGAGTTTATGCTTCTATAATAAAGTACCTGATACTGGATAATTTATAAAGAACAAAAGTTTATTTCTCACAGTTTTGGAGTCTAGACAGTGAAGATCCACACACCAGCATCTGGTGAGGGCAATCTTGCCTCATCCATCCATGGTGGAAGATAAAACAGGAGGTGTGGAGGGGCAGGGAGAGAGAGGGAGCCAGGGATCCCACTCACAAGGATGAATTGCCTATGGATGAATTACCTTTTAAATGTCCCACCTCTTGTCACAGTTACAATTGAAATAAATTTCAACAGGAAGTTTGGAGGGAACATAAGGTTCACACCACAGCAATATCTGCTCTGGGACTGTGTCACGGGGACACGTGTAATAACGCGTGGAAGGTGCTTGGTGCGGTGACTTTCGGGTAGTGAACTCTCACAGGTCAAATGTTGCTATCGCGATCACTTTGACAAGAGCCACCCTTCCGATTTTGCATTCGTGCAGACCTGTCTTTTGCAACTTACCCACCTTAATGAATTTTAGTCTTACATATAATCTCTGTTCTTGAAGAGAATTTGAAGGACACAAGTGGAAATTTATAGAGAAGTAAACGTGGCTAAATAAATACGTGAAAGGAGGAAGAAAAATATGTTAAAAGTGAGGCACAAAGGCTTCCTCTTAGACCAACGACTCCATAGTGAATTTTGTGTGTCACATTGTGTGCTTTATCAAAGGTTTTTACATTAAGTAGAAGGCAGTGGAACTTTATACGTAAGGAATAAAAGGTGTGGCCAGGTGACCCACTCATAGCAATCACTGGGGGAAGAGAAACAGCAAGTCCTGGTGGAACTTTATTTATTTATTTGTTTTTTCTGTGTATGTTTCAGGCTTTGTATAGAGGAGCAACACAGGCGCTATAATGTACTGCTTGGAGACCATAATCTATCCTGCCCTTAATGACAGCTTGTACGCGCCCTTGCCTCAACAAACCAGAAGGAACCACTGGCAAATGGGTGCCACTGCTGGTGAAAGAAAAACAGCCAGGTGTGTTTGTACTCATTAAGTGCTCTTTAGTATAAATATATTCTACCAAGAACTCTCCTCCATGAAGTACCCATCTTTCTTTCCAAAAATAGAATAACTATGTTTCTTTATATTCTGTACTATTATAATACAAGTTCACAATCATCAACCTTTTAAATTTAATTTAATTTTATTTTTTGTCTTTTTGAGACAGGGTCTCACTAATGCAGTTCAGACTGGCCTTGAGCTCACTTTGTAGCCCAGGCTGGCCTCAAACTCACAGCGATCCTCCTGCCTCAACCCCCTGAGTGCTGGGATTACAGGTATGCACCATCGTGCCCAGCTCTTCATAAGCATTTTATACAATTCTGGGTTTTTCAAGTAGCCCAATCAATAAACAGGCAAGTTGTTTGAACAGGGAATTCTCAAAAGAAGTACAAATGGCCAATTAATATATGAAAAATGAGTAGAGCATGGTGGCACATGAGTGTAATCCCAGCACTGGGGAGGCTGAGGCAGGAGGATCGTTGCAAGTTTGAGAACAACATGGGCTACAAAGTGAGCTCAAGGCCAGCCTGAACTGCATAGTGAGACCCTGTCTCAAAAAAAGATAAAAGCAATATGGAAAATGTTCAGCCAGTTTACCCATTAGGGAAATGCAGATTAAAACTACACTGAGTTCCTACCTAACCCCATTCAGAACCATTATCATTAAGAATACAAAAAACAATAAGTGCTGGTGAGGATAGAGGGATAAGGGAAATTTCCTACATTGTTGGTGGGAATGTAAACTAGTGCAACCACTGCAGAAATCAGTATGGAAAGTCCTTAAAAACACTGTCATTAGGTACAGTATACACCATTTGATCTGTCCATACCACTTCCCACCAGATCCCCGAAAAAGTTAAAAGCAGCATATTATAGTGATATTTGCATACCCATGTGTATAAAGGTGCAATTCACAATAGCCAAGCTGTGGGAACAGTCTAAATGCCCATCTACAGATTAATGGATAAAGAAAACGATGCAGTTTACTATAAAACACTATTTAGGCATGAAGAAGAAGAAAAATCATATTGGCAAAAAAATTGGTGGAACTGGAGACCATCATATGAAGTGAAATAAGCCAGTCTCAGAAGGTTAAAAATTGTGTGCCTTCTCTTATATACGAAAACCCTAAAAATAAATAAGAATAAAAGGCAAAGGAGAGAGGACAAGAAACTAATTTTCCACAGATGGGGTAAGGATTAGGGAGGGGAAAGGAATGGAAGAGGGCGTAATGGGGATGAGAGCAATCAAAATAAGTTATAAACTCGTACCAATAGACCACAAAGAATCTCATTATCCTGGGCTGTTACAACACAGCAATAAGATTACTCAAATTCAGTTTCTTTTTGTATTATGCATGAACAACGTAGTCTTACAACAGTAACTAGGCAAGGCACTGTGGGGCTGTGTGCCTTTACCTTTCCAGGACTGACTAAAAGTGGATCATTTAAAAGTTAAATCAGTTTAGTAAGTGACTCCCCATGATTCTACACATAGGTTTTTGTACCCCAAAGTTTGCAAGTCCAACAAATTCTTTCATCAGACCATGTTGTTGAAGATGTGGGTAAGAAAATATGCTCACTTTAACGCACACCATGTTGATTACTTATATCAGATCAGATCATTGTTGGAAGTACTGAGTGGTTGGTTGTATAGTGTGGCATTGTTTGTCTATATCTGGCATACCAGAAACACCAGGAGTAATTGTTAGTATTTATTGAGTGTCTACTATATGCAGGCACTGTTTAAAAAGCTGAGGCTATAATAAGAACAAAAATAAGAAATACATGGTCTGACGTTGCTAACCACAACTCTATGCAGTAGGTATAAACAAAACCTTTTTTTCTAGAGTTTAAATGTTTCATCCCAGGTTAGACATCTATAAAGTAATCAATCTGGAATTGCAGTGGTATATTTATTTGTAATTGCAACCTAATCTATATCTTAGTTAGGAGACCCAAGAATATAGTGGCTTAAAGTAGATAGAAGGAGTTCCTTGACACAATAGAAGCTATTCCTGAATCAGCTCTGGACTGGTTAGGTTTAGACTTTTGACTAAGGGAGAAATAAAATTTCTTAATCCTTTGCCGTCCCTGGATGTTGGCTTTATTCAATATGAATGCTTAAGTATTCTTTCTAACCATTTCCTAAATGTTGAACTCTTAATTTCTATTTACCTCCCACTAGCCCTACCTAGCTTCTAGGAAGGTCTCAAAATAGTGTAATCCTTAACACTAAGGGGCTGTAAAGGAAAAAAGCGAGAATTGGTGTTCTCTCTGCCACATGTTAATAAAAGTATTGTTTCAAAGTGGAGTTTTAGCCAGACTTGTCCAAGTAACAGATGATCTTATGACTTAGAGATATGCCTAACTCCACTATCCTTTTCTTTTCAAGTAGTATCATATCAAGGTTATGTATATATGTATCTAGTGTGTATGATATCTTGAAATATCCAAAATATGTGAGATGTCATGAATATTACATGATTCTACAGTCAACTCTGGCCATCTGCAAGTACTGATGCAAAATTTCACACTAGAAGTCCAATGGCTTTACTCCTTGGCAGAAAGTTTTGTGAAACCCCCAGGATTTGTCTTCCTTGCATTCTCACTCTTAAAAAGGTCTCAGACTCAAAGATCCATGGTGTAAGAAATGTGTTCTTAGAGAAATGTGTTCACAGAAACACATGTAAAATTGCTCTAAGGTTTTGAGTGAGACATGTACCTACTCAGTGCCTGAATCATAAACAACTCTGATCCAGAACTTTAGATTCTCAGATTCTTGGTCTAGTCTGATAAAGTTTAGACATTTGTTTAGCATTTACTATAACAAAAGCAATTCATACACATTTGTTGAGAAACCCTTAGATATTAGATGTATTGAGATGGATGCTAAGATCCTTGCCTAGGTGTCTCTTGGGGCCAGAGAGGTACTTGGAGGTACTTGGAGGAGAAAAGCATAGGGTAGACCTCCCTCCCACACGCATATTCTTGTACTATGTGGGTCCCTTTCCCCCAACTTAATGAATCTCTGATGAGTTCAGATACCGATGTGGAACTGCTGGGACACAGGGTACCTTACACACAAGGTCTGCTTGGTCCTTCTACCCTGTGTTCAGCCCTTTGAGCATACTTCACTGGAGTCAAGATGAGGCAGAAAAAAATAAGACAAGAAGATAAAGGATATATATATATAAATATATACATATATATATATACACACACACACATATATATGTGTATATATATATATATATATGTTTTAATCTGTCTGTCCTGGTCTTATCTCATGGACAGGAAGTATGTATGTGTGTGTGTGTATGTGTGTGTCTCACATGAGGGCATCTCCTAAGTGGGAGGCCGTTCCAGACCACTTTTATCACACTGGGCATGTGGGTGTAGAAAGAAACAACTAAAGAGAGTAAAAACCCTAAAAGACAAAACCTCAGAGAGACCCCAGGCTGCAGAAGTTTGAACTTTAATATTTACCTTTAATACCGTGTACCAAAGTTTCCCTGCTGTCAAGAGGTTTAGTTGAACTTGTAATTGATTCTGGGATCTTGTGTCTTTCCTTCCTTGGGGCTGGGGCTGTCTGGGAGCAGGGAGAGGGAAGTGGAAGGACAGGATGGGGGTGGATCTTTGCTGTCCTTGTGCTTTGGGTCAGCAAAGTGCTCTAGAGGCGCACAAGGTACTCCAGAGGCATTACAGCAAGTACAAGACATGGCCTGTGGCTCAGCGTGTCTGAAGAGCTCAAGCATACAAAACATTTAGCAGAAACCAAGGACCAAGCTGTGTGATATTGATTATACCAGAGGAATCCAGATAAAGCATAAAGCATAAAGCATAAAGTGTGGATTTGTCTCTTAAATTGCATCACAAGTGGAATGCCAAAGGACAAAAAGGAGCTAATTAAGAAGAAAGCAGGGAGAGGCTGTGAATGAAGATGTAGATGGCCTCAGAGGTCGGTCAACCTGCGCGGGTGAGGCAGCCATCATGTGATAAAGTGGAGTAAGATAGCAAAAGACTAAAACTCAGGTTGGGGTAAAGCCATAGGAACCCATGTAAATTTTTATGAAAACAATGTTAGTTTCTTTAATTTTTAAAAATATGAAATAAGAATAAATTGATAGTTGGCTGAGAAATTAGAAGAATGAAATATATGTATTTCCAAAATTATCTATATACATATATATCTCCAAAAATTATAGTGCTATGATTTGTCTAAGCTGTTCAGGGGGAATTTTTATCAAGTATCTTAGCCACACAGATTCCCAGGGAACAAGAGAAAGCCAAGGGTAGGTGTATCAGATTGGGAATCCAACTTCAGTAAGGTTGGCCTGTAGTCCAGTCTTCAGTGCCCAAGTGTATGTGCTGATCTAGGACTGGCTCAGGGACTGATATCTGAGGCAATTCAGTCCAGCATGAGGTGTGGCCCATCGAATGATAGCAGGTAAGCTTTGGAGTCAGGAATGGTGGTATCAGGGCAGTGGGCAGCCTCATTACAGCTGGATGGGGTTCTGTAATAGAACCCATGGAAGGGTTCTGATAAGAGTCAGGTAGATTTAAATTCAAGGTAAAGCACAAAGTATCACAAAAAAGAGGATCTGCAGAGGGACCTTTCAGGGAGACAGTAGCCCCTGAGCATGGGAGTGAGTAATGCTTCTCATCAAGATGTCTGTCTTTCGTGGTCTAAGTTGGTGTTACTGGTATACGGAGGTGTGACTGAAAAGCCCAAGGTGGGAGCTACCTGCATGCTTCCATGCTACTTTCATGGGGCTTTCCCCCCATTACTGAGGTGCGAGGTATCTGTTTGCACTGTGGCTTCTCATGTTGAGCCTTTGTTGAATAGCATGTGTGCCTGGATGGCAGATAGCTTCATAATCAACCTCTTTAGCTGCAGCTGTTTTTTTCCCAGTTACCCGTGTGGGGCCACACAGTTGGAAGCAGTAGGCACTTTATTCACAAAGGGTGAGGCATGGAATCTCAAGAAAGGTATTATTTTTATTTATTATAATGAAGAAAGAAAACATGGAATCTTTACCTGGGTAGGGAAATTCTCTTTTCAAAATATATGCATATGTGGTATTTCTGATCTCTTTTTTTTTTGAGGCAAGGTCTCATTGTGCAGTAGTTCAGGCTGTCCTTGAGCTCATTTTGTAGCCCAGTCTGGCCTTGATCTTGCAGCCGTTGTCTTGCCTCAGCCTCCCGAGTGCTGGGATTACCGGCATGCGCCATGATGCCTGGCTTAGTAATTCTGATTTTATTAGGCTTTGATCTGCATGTGGGTGTAGGATAGATTTCAAAATCATTTCTTAAAGCAGAGAAAGAAAACCCTAGCTAACATTATCACCGTAAATGGCCCAGGTTGTGTTTTTAAAATGTTGTGGTGAATACATTGCAGTGATCAGGCAAAAGCCAGCTTTTGTACTTCTGAAAAATAGGAAGGTGTGGATAAATAATTGGTTTCTGTTTTGTTCACAGATGTACTGCTTCTGGGACTGGGGCAGAAACCCCTTGAATACCTGCTTCAAATCAACTTTCATGTTTTATTGTTGGAAATGGACCCTTTCGAGGATCACCGCTTCCTTTTGCAAAAATGGAAAGGAAACAAGACATGCACAACATCACCCTGGCCTGCAGTTCCAACACCTTCATGGAGGTCATCTTCTAGACAGTTGTGCTTCAATAGCCAGAAATCAGCAAAGATTCCACCCATCCTTTCTGCCTCGGCTGCTCCTGAACTCAGTGCAACCCCTCCAAATGAATGTGAATTGGAACATGTATTGCCTTTCAACTTAATCGAGTACTTACCATGAATCAGTGCACAAAATAGGGGAGAGAAAATGAGGGCGACAAATACACATGGAACCTGCTTTTAATGAATCTACTATTAGTTTCAGGATGCATATTGTGTTCTTTTGTTTTTAATTAGGTGTGTCCCTAAGACAAGAAACGAATGGAAAAGTGTGTTCTGGAAGTATTTTAAGCCCCATTAATGAGAAACAAAATAAAATACAACAACAGCAGCCACAAGAGCAACAAGAGCAACAACAAAACTCTAATGTGAACAACTCAGGACTTTTCAATTCAGTTTTTTTGATGTTCTTCAAGTTCTGAGAGATACGATCCATTTTATTTTGTATATTTTGGTGGTGCTGCCATAGGATTCATTTTATTGATTCCATAAATATTCAGCAGGCTTTAGAGACATTAATACAATATAGTTTGAGTTCATTTGAATCAAATTCTAATTTTTTCCTTTAGGTGTAGATTGTCTGTTGGAAAATACATCTATTGCATATTTCTTGGCCGAAGGAAGGTGAATTATACCTGGTGTCTTTATAGACATCTGCCTGCCACGCCCTAGGCCCCACCATTCCAATGAGTGAGTAGCAAGAAAAGAAAGCTCATATTCCACCTTGGGGGTGACACCCATGGACTAAGTATTGCACAGGGGCCAGAACAGCTGGGCAATGATTCTCCATGAAATTTGACTAAATAATCTTTTCAGTATTCATTGTGTGACTTCTTTTATTCCCTAAGTTGGATGACTATACAGTTTTTCTAGAAATGTATTTCTGAGCTGAGAGTAAGTTTAAGTTACGATTTTTCCAGCGTTATAACATTAATATGACTCTAGCCACTAGACATTTTATGTAGTGTCTGTGACACATTTTAGTATGGATGAGCCAACAATAGACGTGTCTTTGTCTTGAGTAGTGTCCATCTGAATTGAAAATGAACCAGCTTTTCTTTTTGAACATCGTCAACAGACTTCTTAATTAAGCTGCCAATACATACTGCCAATAACACTGTGCTGTTCTAGAAATAGTGTCAGTGCTGTTTCCACCGTATTAAATAAACAATGCTGCTCCATATATACTGGATTTTAAGTGTTCTTTGAATGGGACTGCACATTGCTCCCTAAATAATTTGATGAGATTTCTCATACCATCTCTTTTGATTCAATTTGTACAATTTATTATTTTGTTTTTTTTTTTTTTAGTAAGAAATAGCTCTAATTTGACCAAAAACTTTGGTTATCTGATCATCCATAGTAGAACAAATTACTCCACCACCAAACTCCTGGTCATGCTCTGGGGTGTGTGTATCATTACTATGAGTTGGCACAAAGTAGCTTTTAGGAATTCTTACTAATCAGCTGGTGTTATAATGGCTTGTAGATCTGTACTTTGTAAGCACTTGGTGATCCTGTAATGTAAAGCAGCTTTATTCACCTTTGGCTTTTAACACTTTATAGAAGACGGCGCGGGGAGTGGGGTCTTGCTAACAGAATAGCAGCTTCACTGGTATGTAGTTTATAGTCTACTGAGAAGTCCAAATAACTGGAATTTTAAAATATATTTTAGTTTTCTGGGTTCCTTAAGCAGTGTCTTGGGATTACTAGTTCTGGCCTGATTTAGCCCAGTTACCACTGTCCACTCTGCTGCCCATGGCCCGGGCCTCTCTCTGCACTGGGCAGGGCCTTCAGTGGCTTCTCCTCGGTGGCTCGTCTGTCAGTAGCATAACAACCACTCCATTCACTGGACGCTCACCCTGGGCCCAGCCCTGAGCCTTCAAGTGTGTTCTCTCACTTAGGCGTCTCATTTAACTCCACAGCAATTGTGCAGAAAAGGCGCCATCCACTGTGGATGCATGTTGGTTACATCATGGGATCCGTACTTCGATATTTTCAGCTCCAAAGGCTGATTAGCAGCAGCATCATAGGAATAAGTCCCAGTTCCGTGTGTGTGTGTGTGTGTGTGTGTGTGTGTGTGTGTATGAATGCATGTGTGCTTGTAGAGGGGCAGCTCCAGTCTGGATGAAGTCCAGATTCCTTGTATTTAATATTCCTGCAGTACACACTGCCTAACAGATAAAACCCAGCAAATCATAGTTGTTTTGAGAATCAAGGGGAAGGCAGAGCAATTGGGAGAAAGCAAAGTTGGAAATAAACCAATTTTAGTCAAACCTTTAGCCTTTACCTCATAATGCTTTTTTTTAACTTTCTTTTCTTTTAACATAGCCTGACACCATGTGATAAATCAAAGTCTGATGTAATTGACCCAGAATTGATCCCCAAATGTCTTTTGGGGGAGCATGCTTTAACTCTGGTTGTTGATTCTGAGGAATAATTGCCACCCTGCAAAGGTAATTACATGTGCCATTGTTTATACACATAATAGGCTCCGAATGCACGCTCTGCACAGAAGGGGCGAGCGTCCTGCTTGCACGTCAGGCGTGTGTGCTATGGTTTGTGTCACAGTGCCACAAATAGCATTTGAACTGCTGTCAGTGACTGCTGATTTCCATGCGCATGCATGTCTGCGTGTGTGTGCATGTGTATGTGTGTGTGTGCGCTCGCGTGTGTGTGTGTGTGTGTGTGTGTGTGTGTGTGTGTTTGGGAGTGAGAAGGGTACAGGCAAGGGAAGGCCATTTGTTGAGCTGAAATGACAGTACTTTGCTTTCCCCTAATTTTTTCATTTACCAAAACATCTTCTGGATCTGAGTCATTTAGCTTGGTCTGGTAGAAAGACTGTTTTTTCCCTGCTTGGCATATGCTTATTAATGAGACCTCATATTTCTTTCCATCGAGGGCTGTTTACTTTGTGGAAATGTATGGTGAGGCTCCTTCTCTGGGTCCTCCTCCCAGATGCCTGGTTTTACACCCCGCTCCCTTAAGACGCCCAGTGGTCAGCTGTGCCTCTGCTCCTACTGTACTTTCTGGCAAACAAATGTAACCAAAGCCACAAACGTCCAGTTAAAGCACTTCATGCTTCTTTCCTTTTAACCATAAGACAGTGGTTGTCCTAAGTAAATACCGCAAAAAGGCTATTCTGTGGCAGTCTAACCTTAGCAACCTACAGTACTTTTTTTTTTTTTTAATCAAAGCCTTAGAAGACACAAATGTCATGACTTTAGTAGTGTAGCACGATGAAAGAAACACGTACGTATTCCAATATGGAACTGAGCATTGTCTGAGGCCGGAGCAATTCACCGTGGGCTGTTCCGTGCCGCAGTGTCCAGCAAATTGCATGACCTGCTTGTTAGGCTTGACGACAGTGTTTTACCTAACAAAGGCCTCTGCAGCGCCGAGCAGCAGTGGAATGTCAGCGCGAGCGCGTTTCACACGCAGATGTGCGGCCATAATAGCCTATAAGAAGATGCATGCGGCGGAGCCCAGGCTGGGGGTGGGGTGGGGCCGGGAGCGGCGCGGTGCACGGGGGCTGGGGGCCGGCGGCAGGGAGGGGGAGGCCGACAGTTAGCAGTAGGGACATGGCCCCGCTGACCACATTTAATCAGCCCTCTGTAAACAATTCAACATTTTCATTGTTCTCTAAAAACTAATAAAGAGAAACAAGCACTTTTCATTCATCTTGAAGTAATTTTCTGTCAGGTTGGAGCCCCTTGTGGCCTCCAGCTTGTGCAATGCTAGCTGTGTGATACAACAACTATTGCAATTTATTTTACACACTCTGGTCATTCACATGTCAGTTAGTGTTCACCAAGCCGGCATCTGAAATTGTGCAGTTAACGAGTTTTACAACATTTCTATCAAGAGAAACTGTTTAGCATAACTGACTCTTAAGGAGTTATTATACCTCTAAAAATCCATTTTAAGGGGCATTATTTAAATAAAATAGAAAAACGGTTCACTGCCTTTTAAAGGGGCTACAAAAAAAGTCCATCAGCTCCAGCGCAGTAATCCTCAGCTTAAAGCACTCTTGAGAGTACTTCTGGGAATTGTCAGCATAATGAAATGTTTTGTGAAATGTCCAGATAGATTCCTCTCCTCAACAATTTTACTGCGCCATATTTATTTTCCTTCCAGTTTTTAAAGAAGTGAATTATTTTTGGAGGGGGTGACTCTATGTTGTGCAGATTAACTGAGTGCATTATTGTCAAGGTGGAGGCAGCTACAAGGGTTCTGCTTGGGGTGTCGTCTATGTTCATCAGCAGAGAGAGGGACAAAGAGAAAGTGCCCCCCACTTAGCACTCGGCTCCAAAAGGTTAAATCATAACAGCACTCTACAGAATTTAGTGTTTTCCCTCTGCTACATGTTTCTCAAACAGTTAAACACCTTTGTACACATGGCACCTGTAAGTATTTCTTTGAACTTCACAAATGGATGCTGTTTTCTTACCCTCAATAAATACGTGCAGGAAACCCCATACACGTGTGCACTGACACATGCGTGATTCTGCATGTCCTTTAAATCTGGACTATTTTAGTAGGAAATGCTACGGAACATTTTACTTAAAGAAGAATAGATTCCTCACATTGACTGAGATGGCCAATGACCCCAAACAATTAATGGCTAGAGCCTATCATGGTAGCACTGTACGGTACAGCATCAAGTTCATTTAACATACTATATTATATTATCTAACTAGAGTAGAAGTCACCAGTTATTGTATAAATAGCTTCATGGTTCTTTCTAGGATGAGCAAGACTAGAAGGAACATTATGTTTTGCTGTAACTAGAGATATTCTGTACCCTTAGGAGGTGTATCTGGAACACTGTACTCTTTTATGTCACCACAAACGGCCCCCTAATTTCTCAGAGTGATGTTTGTACACGCAACTTTAATTTTCTAAGGGAGATGGGCAGGTGTTCTTGTGCCTGTTAGCTGTAGCTGCCCGTAAGAAGCACAGTAACATCCACTAACCAAACACAATTTGACATAATTCATGGCTTTATGGCCTCCTGCAGAATGGTATTATTTCCTGCTGGCACATTAGTGTGTCTAGCATGATACTGTCATTCCTGGAAATTTTACCTGCTGAAGTTCAGATGTTGAGGAATGGGTTTTAAAATTTTCTATGTGCCTTCGATCTGGGACAAATGCAATTTATTCCATGATCCACTTTTTTCCCCCTTAGTTCTGATTTTTATTAAAAAAATTTTTAAAATGTAGTGGCACTTCCATAGCAGATAATGCATAAAGATCATGTCTGAATACTCTCACCTCTCTTTTTTTTTTTTTTTTAAACCAAAGAAATTCCTCCTAATCTATTTCTAGTTTTGCAAATAATATTTATGGTACTTATGTTTCACTTTGTTATTTGTTCTCCTGATATAAAATCAAGAGCTGTTGATCAAAATAATATTTCACTGTCTGCAACTTGAACCTATTTGGTGTAGTACTTAGATCCTTCCCAATAACTACAGCACTCAGAATTAGATAAGATGGAATATATTAGTTTCCTATTGCTGCCAGAACAAATTGCCACACATTTAGGGGTTTAAAGCAACACAAATGTACTATCTTACAATTCAGTAGTTTAAAAGTCTCCCTGGCTTAAGCCACTTAAGCTGTAGAGCTACATTCCTTCCAGAGGCTGTAAGGGAGAATTCCCTTCATTACCTTGCTAGCTTTTAGAGGCTACCAGCTGGTGGCTGCTGGCTAGTCTCCATGTCAGTACTACAGTGGCAGGGCAAGCCCTTCTCACATGGCATCTGTCTTATCCTCTTCTGTCACTGCATCTTCCCCCCTGAATCCAGCTGGAAAATGTTCTTGACTTTTAAGGACTTACATGATTAAATTTATCTGACCAAGGGACTCTAGGATAATCTCCCCATATTAAAGTCCAACCCCTCAATCCTATCTGCAAATCCCTTTGGCCACGTAAGATATCACAGGTATTCTCAGGTTCTGCGGGGTTTGGATGTGGATCTTTGGAGGGCAATTCATCATCTTACACATAGTCTCTCAGAGGTCTTTTCCATATCAGTGTTTGGAGGATTAATAGTCCAGTGATCTCCAAACTTTAAAACTCATGCACATAGTTTAGAATTTTAGAGTATTCACTCCAATATACATACAATTCTTGCTAAATTGTACGATTAATCTCTTTTTGTGGTTGTTGTCTGTAGTCCTGGGGATTGAACCCTGAAT